GGTGCAGCATTGAAGGTTGGTGCCAGCTTTTCTTGGCTTGTTATGTTAAGGTTTAGTAAGGGCACTTTTAAGAGTTTCTATGATGGCTACGTACATAAGGATTAGGCTTATGACGGTTGTGGGTTGGGTTTCAAATTTGGGCTTCAGGTTTAGAGTCTTTGGCGGGGGGGGGGGGGGGGCNNGGGGGGGGATGTAGGCCTCAGGGCTCAGGATTTAAATTCGCCTTCCCGTAAAGGTCTGATAGGGCTTGAGGAGTGTGGGGTTGGCGACGTGTGGGAAGTTTGGGGTTGTAGCTTTGGGGGAGAGGGGGCCGGATTTCGCCGCTCCTTTGCAAATCCAGGTCGTGGATTAGAGAATTCACCAGTAGTTTCTTTGTTCGCCTCAGCTTCTTGATCACAGTACCCTAGCCGTAGAACTTGACTTGTTACCCCGAAAGAGCGGTACGAAACCTCAGGGTTTAGGTGGACTCCAAGCCTGCACAGTTTTTTGTGCATCTCAGACCGCCGGCCTGAAGCCCCAAATGTGGGCGGAACCCGGACCCTGCCAGAAACGCTGTAGCAAAGGGGTATGATATGCCTTATAGACATATAAGGCTTACTATGCCTGGTGTTACTTGACGAAAAAAGTCATTAGAACTATACGGGTTAGCAAATGACTTGTTAAAGGTATTCGGTACCGGACCTTCTGCATACAAGGTATATATAGCCATGGCAGAATTTGCCCCTGAACCCTAAACTCTAAAGACTCTAAATCCAAATCTAGTAGCGTCATGCAAGGCCCAGTCATTACAAGGCAGCCATGGTAGTAGAAAGCCTTGAGGCCATAAACCCCACAGTACCCTTATAGAACCCAAAGTACCGTTATAGATCCCATGGAGCTTTAAAGCACTTTCAAATCAACATAGAACCCACCTAAACCCCGAAGAACCTACCTTTTTATCATGATTTCCATATATAGGTCCTTGAAAAAGTAGGTTACTTAGGGTCCAGGTAAACCCTAAACCTTCAACCCTAACCCACTTGAAGGCAGCCATGGCAGAGTTTGTCGGCACCATGCTTTTGGTGTTCATCGGTTGCGGCAACTCGGGATGCAATTGTTATGTACCCCTTGGTTCGACTTGGGGTTAGGATTCTGGGTTTTAGGGTTTGGGTGGGTTTAGGAATTTGGGTTTTAGGGTTTTTGGTTTCAGCGTTTTGGGGTTAGGATTTGGGATTTTAGCATTTTGGGGGTTTAGAAATTTGGGGTTAGGGTTTTGGAGTTTAGGTTTTTGGCACTTGGGGTTTAGGAGTTTTGGGTTAAGGGTTTGGGTTTGAAGCTTTTGGGGGTTTAGGAATTTGGGGATGGGGTTTGGGATTTAGGAACTTGGGGTTAGGGTTTGGGGGGTTTTCGAATTTCGGGGTTAGGGTTTTGGGGTTTATGGTTTGGGTTATGGTTTAGGGTGTTGGGGTTTAGGGTTTTGCTGTTCAGGCTTTGGACTCAGTTTTGAATCAAAGAAGGGTTTGGGGTGTAAACGTATGTTGGAAGGCTAGAATGCGTCTTTAGGGAGGCACTGTAAGTGACACAGATATGTCCGCAGATAATTCGAATCCAAAAGCACGTACGCTGCTGTTTGCAGTCGATAGTTGGGTGTTTTCTGTATTGTTTATGTCTACAAAATTCGAACTAGACGAAGACGAAAAGGCAGAAACACAGACTTCGTGTTTTTGTTCATTCCCTACAGACAATGACGTGGACTCTAACTATAACGGCCTTGGTTGACTTGAGGATACAGGGTTACATCATGTTGTCTCAGGATACAGAGCGGCAGGAACCACATAGCTGACATAGCTGTGTTCGTCATAGCTTTCTCTGCATGTCGTTCGGACCCAGCAAGGTCATGCCCAACTACGGTTGGACAAGTCCTAACTTCGGAAATCTTACACCTAAACGGACCTAAATAACGAAACCAGACCCCCTGCATGCTAAACCCTAACTAAACCCAAAACCCCACAATCCTAAACCCTATAAGCCCTAAACACTGTATGTATCCTATGCCTTAAACCCTATATACCCTAAACCCCTATAAACCCTAAACCCGAAGCAAACTTTGCGCCAGGAGCCGCCTCCCTTAAGGGAGCCGACACACCCGAGAAGAAGTTGGTGATAGCACTTTGCTTCGGCATTGGGGTCATGGTGACGCGGCCTGAGACATGATCTAGGTTACTTTAGGCAAGGGGGGTTCCTTTAAGGACTACTTCAAGGGCTCATGCACGGGTTCCTTTATGGGGCTTTGTGATGGCTGGTCGCAATGACGACAAAAGACGGCTAGTAAGATGTGATGAAAAAGATGACATGAAGGGGAAGCGGAACAGACATATGTTTTACAGCAGTTCTGCTTTGTCAAGAGACGTACCCTTATCCCACCCTCCAGGTTGCGTGCAATGTTTGAACTATGGGAAGGCTGTGCATGAACCAACTCCGGGTCTGAAGGTCTCGGCTTCTAGTATAGTCTGGCATTGTCGAGTCTATCCTAGTCTAGTCACTCTAGTCTAGTCTAGTATGGTAAACAATATACAATGCTAGACTACACTATAGTACGGTATAGCATAGTATAGTATCGTATCGTATATATCAAAGCATTTTGTAGCATAGTAGTCCGAACCTGAAGGTCTTGGCTTATGCCACTGGCCACCACAGCGGCGGGCAGCTAAATTGCGCAGTGACCTTCTCGTGCCTTGGTTTAGTCGAGTGACCCAGAGGGTCCAAGTACCCTATACCGTAAACCCTATACCATGTTTTATGTCTTAAATTCCAGATGGCCCTCCTTTAAGGCCAAAGTGTATACTATTTGGGTACATGAACCCTTCGGGTTAGGCCCTGCCCCGAATGACATAGAAGGCAAGATAGTTACCAAGGGCTGTAGGGTTCCTTATTATACTTCTTACGGTTCATTCACATTCCTTGGGGCCTATAGTCAGACTATTCAGAGGTTCCAATTGCCCAGGAAAGTTTGGGATCTAAATGCCTTGCAAGAACTGCCAACTTCTTTGAAGCTGCCGCGCGACGACCTGTTGAATCTTGCTTACGCTGTAATTTGCAGACACTAAAGTTGTAAAAGTGCCATGAAGCCGGGATTCGTAGACCAAGCTTAGACCGTACCACATACAGAAAGTTGCCCAAAAAAGTCCCTGTCGCCTCGCCTGCATGTAGGACTGAAAATGCCCCAAGAGCCGTAAGTAAAGCTTGAGCCAGGAACCTGATAGAATATGGTTCTGTAAACATGGAGGTTTGCTGGTTACTCGTTTTATGTTGGCTTATACCTATTGTTTCCGTTGTAGTTCTTGTTTTGGTTTTTGCCAGCTTTACATTTTTATCCTAAAAGGGGACCCCTAAAAGGAACTACAAAGGAGACTATAGGTAGGTCTGCTTGTGACCAGCTCATTAGGTGCCTTAGGGCTGTGGCCCCTCCAAGCGCACAGGTTCGATCGTGCCCACGCTGTTGCACCATGCACTCCGATCATGCTACTTGTTTAGGGTTTAGGGGTTTTAGGTATTATAGGCCCGAAAGCCTAAACCCCAAACCCATCCCGAAGCACGAAACCCGAAAATTCAACCCCTAAACCCTCGACACCTGAGGCTCTGTCTTGGCAGAGCCATTTCCTGGCAACAGGCCGCTTTTGTCTCGGCGATGGGTTTGGTGACATCCGTACCCATAGGCCCCTAAGTACTTCCTTCGTTTTTATGGTTTATATGCAAAATCCTATGAGGTAATCCCAAAAAGGAACTACTTAGGGGCCTATGGGTAGTCGCATAGCAGTTGAAAGTCCTAGACGACCTAGACACAGGCAGCTGCGTCGGTAGCCTTGTGCACAATGCTCATAGATGCATACATACGCACGTTGATAGATAGGTGGAGAGATAGATAGGGAGGTAGGTAGGTAGGTAGGTAGGTAGGTAGGTATGTAGGTAGGTAGGTATATAATACGACTCGATTATTTAGGCTATAATAACTTGAAACTTTGCGCTGTAGACCGGAGTCTTGGCGAGATCAAGACATGCGACACGAAGAATGGCCGACCGTTCTAAGCCCCAACAAGAGGTTTTGTTTGCTCTCGGGGCGCTGTAACGAAGCTGCACTACATTACACAACGATCTGCATGCTACAAGAACCGATGCTAGATCCTGCTGTGCCACCTCTGCAGTGGCCGTTCGCAGTCCTGCCTTGTAGACACTGCTCGTGTCTGAAACCCGGCCATTAAGCCCGAGAATCCCGCATACACTATGACTTCATGTCCCTGAAACACGGAATCAATGGCTGGCTTGCAGATGCTTAGCTTCAAGTCCATAGTCGTTCTTGGACGGGCTTGCGGACGGCCGAATGTCCAAAACACATGCTTCGTGGGGTCGACAGGATTGGCTTTCATAACGAATCGGTGCAGTCCCCAGACATCACCACCCAGATGCTGCATGTCTGGAAAGCCTCCGGGAGAGAGCTGGCTGCTGTTAGACTGGAAGAGCTGAGTGATGTGCGGACTCTGAAGCGGTACTTGCAGGGGCTATGTGGGGTTCCGAGATTCAGGCAGATGCTCCTCTACGATGGCAGGAGCTTAGAGGACGATCTAAGACTAGACATGCCGCTGGACCTGCATCTCGTTCTGCTCTCCTTCTCCTGCGACATCACCACCGAAGCCAGAGATCAGCTTGTCATCGCCGCTGGAGATGGTTCCGTGTCTCAGGTTGCCGGGCGCTTGTTAGCGGATTTTATTTCAGTTACCAGAATAAAGAAGCCATATCACTTACTATAGATCCCCATTGATAACTTAGAATGATTAAATGTACTGTGCTATAGATCCCTATTCTGGTAACTTAAAATGATTAAATTTACTGTGCTAGAGATCCCCATTATAAAAAGTAAATCCCTCAACAAGAACCCAGGTTGAGGAGATGCTCCGGAAACCTCAGGATCCCAACTGGGCGAATGCCTTCGGTCAGACGCCTCTCGTGGTGGCCTCGGACTTAGGGCATCTGGAGGTTGCAGCTTTGCTTCTAGAGGCAAAGGCCGACCCGGACCTCCTTGGTCCCTGAGTTTCTTTTATTTAGAAGGCTTTAAAAAACCCTTGGGATGCAGCAGTAAACTTTATGAAGGTTTGGGGTTATTATAACTTTCCCTAAAACTGAGAAGTTATGCTTTTTTTGCTTTCCTGAACTGGCAACACAAGGTTCGGCTGAAGGTGATGGAGAGCAGCAGACACCCCTGTATCTGGCATCCACAGAAGGCCACCTTGAGATAGTGCACCTGCTCTTGGAAGCAACTGGGTTGCTGTTCAGGAACTTAGTTTAAGTTACCATGATGGGGATATATAGTAAAAAATAGGGATTTCTTAAAGCAGTAGCTGAATTTAAGTTCTTTAACAGCAACCCAGGCAAATGCAGATCACGGGATCTTAAGTGGATCCCACGGGAGGACGGCGCTTTACCAGGCGTCTTGGCATGGGCACCTCGAGGTTGCTCGTGCTCTTCTGGACTTTGGTGGCGCTGTGAACCAGAAGGATGGGTGCTGCCACACTGCTCTTCAGGCTGCTGCCATCCGTGGCTACGGGCGCATGGTGCGACTGCTCTTAGATGCTGGGGCCAACGCCGATGTGGAGGGGAGCTTGGGAGACTCCCCCCTCCTCCACGCTGCGCAGGAAGGCCATGTGGAGGTGGTCCGGCTACTGCTGCAGGCTTTGGACGGGGAACATCTGAGCTCTCGGCATTTGGATGTCGTCCGCTCGCTCTTGAAGTCTGGGGCCGGTCAGCGTCCCTTGCCAGCTGAATGGGATAAGATTATGCCCTACCCTAGGGCATAAGTTACCTAAAATAATAGTAGGTTACTGGGGTACATAATATATTTTATATGGTTAGTAACCCACTATGTTTAGGGAACTGGGAGCCCGAGGGCTACAGTATCAGAACTGAAGATGTACACTTCCCTAAAGCTCCAAGGACTTCCATTCTAAGGCTGTTGGGCACAAAGACTGAGCTATAGAAGGCTCTTGGGCTCTTATTGAAACCGAGGGTTTGGGCTTGTGATGAACTACCCCAAACCCCAAACCCGAAACCCTAAAACCTTAACCCCTAAACTTTAAGCCGTAAAAGCCTTAAACCTTATAAGCCCTAAACCTTAAACCCTAAAGCCCTAAACTCAGCAAGTGAGGTCCTGAGATCGCACGGCTTTTGGTCGGCGTTTTGGATGCCGTGTCCTTGGCACCCAAAGCTGGTGCCCGGGGCTGCTGATCTTCGAGACCGGACGCGGAATGTAGGGGCTTCTAGGGTTTAGGGGTTTAGGGGCTTATAGGGTTCAGGGGTTTAGGGTTTAGAGTATATAGGGGCTTATAGGGTTTCGGGGTTTAGGGGCTTATAGGGTTCAGGGGTTTAGGGGTTTAGGGTTTAGGGTCCAATAGTAACAGCATTTCTTCGGGTTCCTGATTATAAGTATTCCATTTTAGACCCCCAAGCCCGTTTCTGATCATTAAGTAGGGGCTTGAATGGTTAGCAACACTACTTGGGGGATTCCTTGTTGCAATATATAGAGTAGCATGTACCCCACAACCCGGTTCTAATCATGAAGGCACCTATATTACCCTATATAGGTACTTTAGGGCCAATGTATATACTATTTGGGTACATGGACCCTTAGGGTTAGTCAAATTTCGCTGGGGTTGAAGGCCGGTCGTAGGCGGGGGGATACATTCTCAAGTCATAATTTTGTTTATTCCTGATGCAGAATCCCTGCATTCTACTATGTAGGTACGTAGGACCCCTTTGAAAAGAAGCTCAGAAGCGCGCCAGAAAGAAGCTTTGAAAGATCCTTTTCGGGCGCAGGGTCTAGAGGCATTTCAGTAGCCGCTGAACGGGGACGCTGCCCCAAGCAGTCCCCAATCCAAGCCACTAACCACTACCGAACCCCGAAGACGCAAGCCTCTGCCTCCCAAACCCTAAACCCTAAACCCCCTTAAATTATACACCCTAAACCCTAAACCCCCTTAAACTATAAACCCTAAACCCCCTTAATCTATAAACCCTACATCTTAAGTCTTCGCAGAACCGTGAATAAATCCTATAATAGGCCCCGTAAAGCCGTTCTGAAACCCTAAACCCCCACGAACCCCGAGGCCCCAAACCCTAAAGCCAGTAGACCCAGAAGCTAAAACTCCAAAGGCCCTACAGTCCTACATCTTACATCCCTTACGCAATCCTTCTAGAAAGTCAAGCCCTTATGAAGGCAAAGCCCAAAGCCTGTAAAACCCCTAACACCCTATACAACCACAAAAACCCTCCAAAAACCCTATAAAACCATCAAAAAAACCTCTTAGATCCTTAAAAGCAAACCCAGAAGCCCCAAAACCCTTCCTAAAACCCTATAAAACCCTCAACAAAAACCTATAAAACAAAACCCTTAAAGCCTCCTGAACAGGGAGCTTTGAACTTCGTGGCGCAGAGCTTCGGAGCCGAGCTCTGGCATTGAAACCACGGAGTTTAAGGGGGTATTTTAAGGGTTTTAGGGTTTAGGGCCGTTTAGGGTTTAGTCTTAGGGTTTTAGGGCTTAAGGGTTTTAGGGTTTTTAGTCTTAGGGTTTAGGGTTTAGGGTTTTAGGGCTTTAGGGTTTAGGGTTTAGTCTTAGGGTTTGGGGTTTAGGGGTTTTAGGGCTTTACGGTTTAGGGGTTTAGTCTAAGGGTTTGGGGTTTAGGGGTTTTAGGGCTTTAGGGTTTAGGGGTTTAGTCTTTGGGTTTAGGGTTTAGGGGTTTTAGGGCTTTAGGGTTTAGGGGTTTAGTCTTAGGGTTTAGGGTTTAGGGGTGTTAGGGTTTAGGGTTTAGAGGTTTAGGGTTGAGTCTGAGGGTTTAGAATTTAAGATTCAGGGCTTATAGGGAGCTCAGTTTCTTGGGTTGGGGTCTTAGGCTTTAGTAAGTTCCTACAAGGACTTCCGTAAGGTTACCACAGAGGTCTACTATACCCTAAACCCTAAACCCTTAACCCCTCTAAGACCCCAAATCCTTGAACCTTTCAGATTCTTTTGAAGATCTTTTATGTATACCGATAGTCTCCAGTGTACTTCCCTTCCTTGGGTCACCTTCCAGGAGCCGAAATACAAAATTGGATGAACAAGTGTTGCAATAAGGCTCCGAGAACCCTAAACCCTTATCCCCTCTAAGTTACCCTAAACCTTAAAGTAAACCCTAAAACCTAAGCACAGGCCTTCAACCCTAACCTGTTTAGTATAGGATTCGAGTTTTGGACGCAGGGTTGGCTTGGGAGGGGTGTAGGGATCAGGTTCATGGTGTAGAGCTCTTACTTGGCTGGTGATTTGGGTTGCAGGGCATAGAGTCTAGGGCTTTTGGTGCGTTGTAGAGTTCAAGGGTTTAGGGCTTCAGGGTTTTCAGGGTTACGGATTTAGGATGTAAGGGTTTAGGGTTTAAGGCTAAGGGTCTACTGTAAGTGCTTGGAGTCGTGGAGTGTAGGAGCTACGCAGTTTAGGATTTAGAGGTTACAGTCGAGGGCGGTGGGACCAGGACGCGAGCTGTTCAGAAAGTACGGGACTGCCTGGGGTTCTGTGCATATACAATTACAAGCTTGAGCTGTTGCGTTCCGCTAAATCCGCAAGCAAATGTATGAATAATAGAGCTTGTGTCACTTGTGTCTACAGTCTACAGTGCATGTACGGATAGAGGGGCATATATATATATATACATACACACACACAAATCTATATACATATCCATATATTTATATGCACCGAAAGGAAGCACACATATGTGCGGCCGCGAAGTTCTGCCAACATGCTGACATATGCGCACTCCCAAGGTGATGGGTGCCGTGCTGCTTGCAATCATGATCCCTTGCGACAAGGAGCTTGGGCTTAAGAGTCCGTTTAGGGTTAAGGTTCGGGGGGTTGTCTGCAAAAGCCTCAGGGTTTCGACAGCATCCACCTGATCTTGTCCCGTAACCATCTGAATCTTCGGAACATGGTTCAGTTATAATTCAGGCTTGGATCCTTTGTTCTTCCCTATGCAGGCATGGAGTTCATACTGCTGGCGAATTATGGTCGTCCACCTACAGCCCGAAAGACCCGATTCAGCAAGAACTTTCGTCGTCAGAGTGGCAACGACATCGTGGCTTAGGGTTTAGGGTTACCCTCCAAAGCCCTGTTGACATGATCCAGCCTCCAAAAGGAACCTCCTGTTCCCACCGTGCTGGAATGAACCCAAGTAGAACAGACACTGTGAGTAACGTGAGTAGCAGGCATTATAGTCATACTGCTCATCCAGCAATAATAGCAGTAATAGCAATACGAAAAAGAACAGTACAGTAATAGTAATAGTAATCGTACCAATGACAAAAGTATAGAGCTCAGTGATGAGCAGTATCCAGCTACATCACCTTCCCTGCGTCCGGAGCCGTTGTCTTTGACTCTGCGCAGGACTTAACGACCACGCTCGCATCTAACATGGCGGCTCCAGGTACTGCTGGGGATCTTGCCCCGGTTGTCAGCAAGCAACCAACGAAGCTTTGATCACTCCGAAACATGTTCCCTGAACCCGGGATGCTTGTCATGCTGCATGTTGCGACTTCAGGATGCGCGGCCTCAGTTGCGAATGTTGGGGCAGTGGGGTGTAGATCAGCGGCACCGTCAGCATGCTGGCAAAAACAGCTTTCAACGCTCCCTATCAGAATATGTCTCAGAAATTGTGCGAAGAGCGCGGAAATTACTTTCAGAAAGGTCCCACCGTTCAGGGCCAATTCAAAGTTGATGGCTCCTCGTTGCAGTTGAACTGGTGCAGCATATGCACTACCGAAGCCTAAACCATTTATAAGCCCGTACTTCCCAAACCCTGAACCCGAACACTCATTTAGAACTTAGAATTGCGTCCATATGAAGCCGCTTTCCCGGACTCGTCAAGGTGCGCATATCAGGGCAATCAATAGAAGCCTGCATAATTAGGCATGGCATTCTTCAGATTCCCCGGGATTCCTTTTATTTTCAATATGTTCGAACAGACCCCCAAAAGCTCTGCTCTGGTGATCAAGACGGTATATAGTGCATTCAGGGGTGTAGGTTTAGGGCTTAGCGCTTTAAAGGTTACGGAATTAGTCTTAGCATCCGCTGTCGAGCTTCCGTCTTCGTCTAGCTCATGCAGGCTTCTCGAACGGACACGTCCTTCTCGCAGCCCTTGGGCAGAATTTGATCTCCACCCAAAGGGTCCTAGGTCCTAGGTACCGTTATGGGCGATGCTTTCCCAAATCATTCATCAATAGTGATTCCTAATCTGGAAACACTGGTTACAGTCTGCTTTTTAGGTACTCAGGACTGAGGACTCTTTGGGAGTATCCATGGTGTGTCTACCCGTAGGCCCCTAAGTAGTTCCTTTTGGGAGTACCTTATATAGGATTCTAAATATAGTCCATAAAAAGGAACTACTTAGGGGCCTATGGGTAGGCCTAGCCCCATGCAAGACCTGCTTCTAAGCCCGAACCTCTGTCCGCTAGCGGTGGTACGGGGGACCTGAAGCCATAAACTCGCCTGAGAAATCGATCCAAAACTGCAGAACCTTCAGGACGAAAGGAAGCCCAACAGGGGTTTAAGGCTTAAAGTTCCTGTGCTTTCAAGGGGTTCATATAAAGGTATAGGGCCCCTAGTTATACGGGTCATGTGGTCTTGAAGGAGCTACCCATAGGCTCCATAGTAGTTCCTTGTTTTCTTGGCGTGCCGCTTTCATGCTTGCCCAAAGGGTCCTAGGTACCTATATGGTAGATTGTAGGTT